GGGGGTGTCTGCACTTGGCACCTGGCGTAAAGAAGAGTTGTCCCGTCTAGGTATAATTGGTCTTGGGTTACACAGTACCTAAATATAGCAAGGCAGACCCGTCAGTTGCACACCTCCACATGTCAACACAGTGCATCTGTGCTGAGACGCAGCGAGTGTGCCTCGCGCTAGCAGAGACACAGGCGGCAACCCACAGTGCGGCTGTGCTGACATGCAAACGGCGTGCGCCAGGCCAGCTACAAGTCAGACCTACAGAGCCACTCTGGGACCGGCCTTATGTATACATTCATTTGCACGGTGCGAGCCAGGCAAGCTACAGGTCAGACCTACAGAGCCACTCTGGGACCGGCCGTATGGAAGTAAGCGCTGGCGGGTTTTCAGACTTTAAGAGTGATCCTTGTATCGTTGTAAGAAAGGTTAGGGGAACGCCTTATTAGCATAAAGCTTACAAAATTTAATGAATGTTCATCGCATTCTCCAGACTTGAACACCGACAATTATCTCTTCCGGGTTGTTGTTGTTTTTTGGGGGGACAGAAAGATACACGAAAACATTTTACAAACGATCGAACAGCTGAAACCCATCGCTGAACAGGGGGTGCAAAGTGCCCCCCTGTTCTTTGTTGGGTTGTTTTTTTTACCTTTGCACTTATCGAGGTTTGGACCTTCGAGGTTTGGGGTATCTTCAGTCCGTGAATGTTCGTGCAATGCCATATGAGACATGGCATAGTCTACTTTGAAATATCTGTCTCCGTTTTTGTTTTTATATGTAGAATAAAAAGCACAATACAGGCTTCTCTCGAATTGGAAAATTTCTATTGCTGCTGTGTATGTTTTTATGTAATTAATTATTGTAAACTCCTCCCCCCCCCCCTTGTTCACCCACAGGGCTCCTTCGCCAAATTCTCTCTTTATGGTATCAGATGTTCAGCGACCTTATGTCTAGCGATCCGTGGCCGTGGAAAATGCCTGAGCCTTACGCCCGGGGCACGTAATCTTCAGATCAGAACCTTCAATCCTCATGCATGGCTGGTGGTGTTTTTGTTTCCCAGAGACAGCCACTTAGAGTAGCTTACTACGTTCTAAGATAATGAACAATGCTTAGAGAAACATTAGTAGAACAAAATGAAACACCAACAATAGAACCAATCAGCGTGCGATAAAACAAAGATGAGAAAGACATTTGCTTCTACCGTAGACACTGTTGGGTATCAAGTTGGAAAATGCACTTTAAAGTAAACATTATGACGTAAGACGAAGTCAGTCGCAGATTAGAGAGAGAGAGAGAGAGAGAGAGAGAGAGAGAGAGAGAGAGAGAGAGAGAGAGAGAGAGCCCACGAAACACATTAAACATTTCCAGTGGGGGGGGTGAGGTGATGCGTGTATTACAATGATAAAAAAACTGATCGTGGCGTGATTCGTCATACACAAATTAAATATTGTCTTGACCTAAGCTATATTATTTCATGTACGTATCGTCAGGCCTTTTCTCTGATAAAGGAAGTTCGTCTCGTAGTAGTAGCCAATCAGCGTTACTGTTTGAGGCGAACTGGCAGCCATAGGCTAACTCGACGGGCTGTTTGGAGCCCAATGATTGTTCGTTTTCCTTTCCTAGAATTTCTGTCGGGGCTTCCATGTCCGTACAGCAGAGAGGACAAAACACGTCAGTGGTGCATTCCATGCAGGGATAGCGGCGTGAAACCTGTGACATGGCGGGTGTTTCGGGACCACTCACATTTGCAGTCATTTTTGGTAAGTGCAAAAAAATAATCCTATCCAGTTGTGCCTATTTAGTCAGGGTTTTTTTTTCACAATATAATCGTTTGTTACCAGTTATTCACCTACTTGTTCCTTTGCCAAACTCTGTAGAGCAATTCCACAGGGAAAATATTAAGCAAATGTATGACCGACGACCGCAGTGAGAAAGAATATACATCTTTAAATTATTTGCCCTGGGGTGCAGTCATTTTTTAGTAAGATTTTACGGCCCTCGCAACTGCAAAAGTTGAGCGCCAAGGGGTGGATGTCAACAGCCTATTCCAAACGGGGAATCAGGCTTACTCTCCTCAACTCTCTAGTCTCAACAGCACAAAGTCTGCTTCGACTATCAAGGCACCCCGAAAATAGCAGTTCACACTAGAGTGACAAACATACAAAAGAAGTAGAGAAAAAGTGACGATTGTTTGAGTAAGGATGAGGAAAGAAAAAGCGGTTGTTCCTACTATATTGTTCCTGTACAGTATGCGCATGACATTGATAAATCAGCCCATTTACAATTCTATTGTGCATAAAAACATTCCTTTGGGAATGGCCTAAAGACATTTCAGTCAGTAGCCCTGCTTGGCAGGAGGTGAAACTCAAAATCTTTGACGTCAAATTTCTCCAAACTAGATACTGAAAAATTGTATGGGTTTAACACCCTTATCAACACTAATAGGTTATTAAGGGGAGAGACCTCCTAGTTTAACGTCCGTCTCTGATAGGACCGAGCCAAGTGGGAAGTTCGGGTAAAGTACCTTTTCCAAGGACACAACGTCGGACCGAGCTAAGGCTCGAATCCCCGAACCCTCAACCCCACGATTACGAGTCCGGTAGCCTAACCACTAGGCTACCGACACCACTAGGTACTGAGCAGATAGAACATTGTAATTCTGAGGTAACGATTTGACAACAGGGTTGGGAAACATAACCGCGATTCAGTTTTATGAATAGTCAACCCGTAGACTAACTTTCGAAAGCGATTGTGGTTGGGAAGGGGAAGGGGATGGTGGACGATAAGAGGTTTCAGTCAAATCTACTGGTGCGTAAATAATAAAAAAGAGCAATTTTTTAGGTAGCCATTCTTTTCCAAGTTGGTGGGGGTTTCAGTTTCGCTCTTTTGCAGTCAGTGTCAGATTTCATCCTTTCGATTGGTTAGCACCTCGGAAGAGCGCTAGTCACGTTTGGATTTATATCAATCTTGGAAGAGCGACAGTAACCTTGGGATAGCTCTACGTATACATGTATACATCGGAAGCGCGACAGGAACGTTTGGATTTTGGATAAGTAGATCTGCCTCGGCAGAGCGTTATTTGTCGGCAACCGCTGACTGAGAACTTTTTGCATTACAGAACGACTTGAATCTCATAACAATATTATCTGTTACATACAGGCAGACCGCTTTTTTCTTGCAACAATATGTACTGATGTCAATGATTCAGATGTTACAACCCCCAATGCTTGCCTGGCATTTCATATCATAACCACTATGAAAGAAAGACTGTACAAGACGAAATAGATCAGAGACATACAGCAACTAGATGTAAGGTACAGAAAGGTAGAAATTTAATAAATTAAGTCCAAATGCTTTAGAAAGTATCAACAAAAGTACTACTCCAAGACTGTAAATGAATGTGTGTGTGTGTATGTGTGTATGTGTGTATGTGTGTGTGTGTGTGTGTGTGTGTGTGTGTGTGTGTGTGTGTGTGTGTGTGGCTGTCCACCACGATTTTTTAAAAACAGAATGAACAAAGTAAGAAACAATTTTAAGGCGACCACACGTTTTTTTATGTGAAGGTTTAAATCTCTTTGAACGTACAGGAATTGTTTACCAAACGGCGATAATAATAATAATGACACCAAAGAAAAAACGAATGGTCAAAACAGCCGAATGGATTTGACTAAAAGTAGGTCAGATCATATTTTGCTTGCGTTGACTTGCGTTCTTATGGGGTTACTTGCTCCCAATTTGATGGGCAGCTTTCATAAAAAAATAAAGTACCACTTTGCAAAAAGGAAAATGTCCTCTTTGTCACGTTTAACAATGAAGTCGAAAACATGGATCTTCCAAGGGGCATCCTTTGATTGCATCCTGCTTTTTTTATACCTACTGCCAATACTCGCGATGTCTAATCGAATTCTTTTCAAGAAAGGTATTACACGGCTACCTAAAAAACATCTCAAATATGTCTTTTAATTTCGTTTATGGCGGTTGCATTGACTGCCTTCAGTGTGTTTATCTTTTACTTTGTCTATGCCTCTGCCTTTGAAAATGAAGACTCAAAGCTCTTGTCCACTTTCAGGTGTGCTGTGTGTGAGACAAGGCGGAGCCCAGCATGAATATGAGAGACACCCGAATGATGGCTGGTTCAACAATCTGTTGCATCCGGACTGGGGAGCTATAGGTAATTTAGATAAAGGCTTTGATGTGCCTGTCTTACTCCACCACCTCCTGCTCCTCCTCCCACTCCTCACCTTCCTCCTCCTCCTACTCCTCCTCCTCCTACTCCTCCTCCTCCTCCTCCTCCTCCTCTTCCTCCTTCTCCCCCTCCTCCTACCTTCCGTCATTCTGCTCTAACTGAAATAATCTCCATATTGCTCAGTTTTTAGGGTTGTCCGGTCTTGCCCTCCTGCGCAAGGCTCACAGTGTTACTTCTAATAAAATAGTTAGCTCTAGCACCATATCACTCGTCGTACATCTATCTATCTACTATCGAACTATCTATCTATCTATCCACTTATCTATCTAGCTGTCTGACTGTCTGGCTGTCTATCTAGTTTTCTATATTCATAGATCGTTTTTGAAGATATGCATATTATTATTAAAAGGTATAATTTGATGTGAGAGTGTATGTGGTTATATGAGTATATAATATAAATATCATACATCTACACTCTCAAAACAGTGTTTGTATGTACTGAACATTCCCGCTTTTCAAGGTACTTATAGCATTTACTTGCACACTGTTTCGACGCGGTTCAATTTTGTTCTCAATGGAAGTGGCGAAGTGTCTATACAATCATAATACAATCACTGCTTCCCCACCTGTGTAAAAGCATATGCTCAAGAAAGCAACATCAAAATACCAAGAGAGAGACCAAAAGAAGTCAGACAAGAGGAAAGAAGATAAAGAAGTACAAATAACATCCCGGAAGCAATGGAGAAGGACATCACCATAGAAGAGCCGAAGAAAGCAATAAATCAACAGAAGCAAAGAAAATCACCAGACCCCGATAAAAGTACAAACGAAATGCTACAACACCTGGGCAACACAACGTTACACACTCTACTTGATATATTCAACTTAAGCTGGAAAAAAGGGCAAGTTACTCAGTGCTGGAAAGAAGCAACGATGATCCCGATCCTCAAACCAGGGAAAAATAAGGCACAACCATTAAGCTATAGACCTATCAGCCTCACAAGCTGTGTATGTAAGACAATGGAGCGCATCATAGCTTGCAGAATGCAGTGGTACCTAGAGGCACAACACATCCTAGTACCAGAACAAGCTGGATTCCGTCAGTTCAGGAGCACAGAGGACCAAACAACATACTTGTCCCAAGTAATAGAGGACACCTTCCAGGCACAGAAAGTAATGCTAGCAACATTTGTTGATCTACAAAAAGCGTTTGACAAGGTGTGGAAGGAGGATCTACTAGTCAAGCTCCTTAGAAGTGGTATCCAAGGCAACATGTACCTATGGACCAAATCCTATCTACACAAAAGAAGAGCACGTGTGCTGGTGGATGGATATCAAGGACGCAAAATGCTGCTGCGACAAGGAGTACCGCAAAGTGGAGTCATGTCACCTTTGCTCTTTATTCTCTTCATCAATGACCTCATGAAAGAACTGCCCAAAGGAATACATGCCGCATTGTATGCAGACGACCTGGTTCTTTGGTGCTCTGAGGAATTCATCACTACTGCCACATATCGCATGCAACTAGCATTAGACAAACTCACTTCATGGACAAAAACCTGGTGTGTAACCGTAAACAAAAAAGTCTTCTGCTACACTCTTCACTCTCAACTAGGCTAAGCCAAAACACCTCACATTAGACAAAACCCCCCTAAAGTTCGAGAATCAACAGAAGTATCTTGGAATAATCTTTGACAAGCGTCTCACATGAAAACAACACATTCAAAATGCAGAGACTAAAGCCAGGAAGAAACTTAACATCATGAGAAAACTAGCAGGGACTCAGTGGGGAGCAAATGAGAAAACACTTAGACAAGTCTATCTAGGCGCAATCAGGCCCCATCTCGAGTACGGATCCAGTGCTTGGATGACTGCAGCACAGACTCACAAATACACTCTGGAAAAGTGCAAAACCAGGCTCTCCGAATAATCACTGGAGCAATGAGGTCAACGCCTATAAAAAAGATGGAGCAAACAACAT